TATTTGCCAACTTTGGTTTAGACATTTGTCTTCAACTTCACAATCTTCAAAATAATTATCTCTGGAGATCTCGAGTGCTAAGATTATTAGCTTGGGTGCCAGGGCCTTATCAAGACATAATTTTGGTCAGTGAAGACTGTCTCCTCCATGACTCATTTCTTGAGGAAGTGCTCTGTGAAGGTGGGGGGAAATTCTAGGTAAACAAAGTTTTGTACTTACCATGATATTGGTGAATATTACAAGATAATAGTAGGGAAAGCTTTTGCTCTAGGACAGTGGTTCTTATTCCTAGTCGCATACTAGGATCACACAAGGAGCTTAAAAACATTCTAATGAAATAAAAATCACTGAAGCCTGCACGTTAATCTAAAACTCTTCCTTGTGATTCTTTTTTTTTTCTTTTTTTCTTTTTTTTTTTTACAGAGTCTCGCTTTGTTGCCCAGGCTAGAGTGAGTGCCGTGGCGTCAGCCTAGCTCACAGCAACCTCAAACTTCTGGGCTCAAGCGATCCTGCTGCCTCAGCCACCAGAGTAGCTGGGACTATAGGCATGCGCCACCATGCCCAGCTAATTTTTTTCTATATATATTATATTTATATATACTATATCATATTATATAATATATATTATATTATATATTGGCCAATTAATTTCTTTCTATTTATAGTAGAGACGGGGTCTGGGTCTTGTTCAGGCTGGTTTCGAACTCCTGACCTCAAGCAATCCGCCCACCTCAGCCTCTCAGAGTGCTAGGATTACAGGCGTGAGCCATTGCGCCCGGCCCAGAACTAGTGAATATGCCCAGCACTAAGTCAACTCCAGGCATGGCCTCTGGCCACAATTATTGCTTCAAAGCGTCTGAGGCTGTGTGCGTACATGAATTTATAATGGTTATATAATAGCTTGCTGATGTGTTGATGTTTTTATCATTATGAAGCATCTCTGTTGCTAGTAATATTTCTTAAGGTCGTTTTGTGTGATATTAGTACAGCCAATCTAGCTCTCTTATGATTACTGTTTGTATGGTATATCTGTTCCATTAATTTACTTTCAACTTATTTGTGGCTTGGAATCTAACGTAAGTCTCTGTACACAGCATATAGTTGTTTGATCTTGCATTTAAATTCAGTCTGACAAACTGCCTTTTGGAGTATTTAAACCATCTATCTACTTTGAGTAGAATTATTGATATGGTTGGGTTTATATTTGCCATGTTGTTGTTTTCTGTATGTCTGCTTCTTTTTCTTTTCCTCCCCTTAGTGCTTTCTTTTGTATTTCATGTGCCATTTTTATGCCTTTTGATTTTTCTGAGACAGGGTCTCTCTCTGTTGCCGTGGTGACCAATCTGAGCAGTGGTGATCACAGCTCACTACAGCTTCTAAGTCCCTAGCTCAAGCAATCCTCCTGCCTCAGCCTTCAGAGTAGCTAGGACTATAGGTGCATTTCACCATGCCCAGCTAAATTTTAAAATTTTTGTAGAGACAGGGTCTTGCCCAGATTGGTCTTGAACTCCTAGCCTCAAGTAATTCTCCTGCCTCAGCCTCCGAAAGTGCTGGGATTACAGGCATGAGCCACTGTGCTTGGCTTCCTCTTCCCTCCCTTGTGCTATATATTGTATATGTGTTATAAACTCAGTGATACAGTGTTATAATTATTGCTTTATGCAATTTTATGTCTTTTAAGAAAATAAACGAAAAAATACAATGTCTTCTTTATTAACCCATATATTTACTATTTCTGATCATCTTTATTTCTTTCCATGAATTTTGGTGTAATTCCCTTTCAGCATGAAGGACTTCCTCCTTTCTTGTCAGGTCTGCTAGCAATGATTCTCTCAGTCTTTGTTTATCTGGGAATCTTTTTGTTTCTTTTTTGCTTTTGAAGGACAGATTTGGGTTATAATAGAATCCCTGATCTTCAAGCACTTTGACTGTGTCATTCCACTGTATTCTGGCCTCCATTTTTTCAGATGAGAAGTCAGCTGTTAATTGTATTGATGGTCCCCTGTAGTGATGAGTCATTTTTCTCTTGCTGCTTTCAAATTTTCTCTTTGCTTTTGATATTCATTGGTTTAAATATGATGTGTCTAGGTGGGGATCTCCTTGCATTTATTCTGAGAGTTTGTTGAGCTTCTTGGAGTTATAGATTAATGGTTTTCATTAAATTTGGGGTGCTTTGCCATTTTTTCAAATATTTTTTTCTGTCCCTCTCCTTGGATTCCCATTACACATATGCTGATGTGCCCAATGTCTGATGGGTCTCTGAGGTTATTTTTATTTATTTATTTTTTGAGACAGAGTCTTTTGTTGCCCAGGCTAGAGTGAGTGCCATGGCGTCAGCCTAGCTCACAGCAACCTCAAACTCCTGGGCTCAAGCAATCCTCCTGCCTCAGCCTCCCGAGTAGCTGGGACTACAGGCATGTGCCACCATGCCCAGCTAATTTTTTCCATATATATTAGTTGGCCAACTAATTTCTTTCTATTTATAGTAGAGATGGGGTCTCACTCTTGCTCAGGCTGGTTTCAAACTCCTGACCTCAAGCTATCCGCCAGCCTCGGCCTCCCAGAGTGCTAGGATTACGGATCTCTGAGGTTCTGTTCAGTTTTCTTCAATCTCTTTTCTCTGTTTTTCAGATTAAATAATTTCTATTAATCTATCTTCAAGTTCACATATTTTTCTGCCATCTCAAATCTGCTGTCTCTAGTTAACTTTTCATGAGTTATACTACTTTTTTCAACATCAAATGTTTTGCTTCATTCTTTTTTATAATCTCTATTTAGGTTTTTTTCTTTTAAGCATTCTTGTGAGGTTTTGTGGGGGTTTTTCTACTTAATTTTTTAGAGACAGGGTCTCACTGTCTCACCTAAGCTGGAGGGCAGTAGCTATTCACAGATGCAGTCATAATGCACTACAGCCCTGAGCTGAGCTCAAGCGATCCTACCTCAGCCTCCTGAGTAGCTGGGAACTACAGGTGTGCGCCACTGTGCCTGGCTTCTTGTGTTTATTTTTAAACTCACCTTTCTAGGGAGTTTCCCTGTGTATGCATAGCTTAGTGGTCAGCCAACAACTGGACAGAGGTTGTGCTTAAACACCTCAGCCAGTCAGACTTCTGCCCTCTGCTGATGGATCTGTGTGTAGTGATTTCAATGTTCAGGCTACTTTCAAGTCTGGCCTAGCTTTTACCTTTTGCTGAGCTCTTTTTCATCTCTAAGACTGCACACACATGCAGCCTCAGAGTTGGCCAGGAGGGTGTGAATAGCTTGAACCCTCTCTGGTCTCTGGCATACGTGTGTGCAGCCTCCAATCAGCCAAAAATCTGTTGATCTGTAACCTCAGCCTCGTGGAGCCAGAACATGCTCTGCTTCCCTCTTGCCCTCTGCTGGTAGTCCTGGATTTTTTCATGTTGTACTTTTCATAAACTACCACTTATTTATCAACACTAAACTTCCTTTAGTTTTCTGAGATTAGACTGTCCTTGGTCACCTAATGGTCACAACAGTTCTACCTCCACACCATGACATCTTGGTCTTTCCAGCAATGCTTGTGCAAGTATCTTAATAGTAATATTACATCTTACCTTGTAAAACTGTATTTCCTGCTCTGGCCTTCAGTGATTTTATCATAAGATCCTAACCACATAGAAGGTCTTTTCTCAAAGTTCTCTTTTGTGTGTGTTTCATGAAAAAGGATAGATTGGTTGCTGCCACAAAAAATGAATTTCTCTAAATTTTGCTTTTCTCAGATTTATGGCTTGACAATTTTAGGCTTTTTACTTTCTTTTAGAAATACCATTAAAATACCAGTAATTTATTTCAATTGCCCCACAGGTGAATCTCCTTACTTGAGCTACTGTAGACTTGGCTTATTATAAAAACAACTCTCTTTTAGAACAGGGAAAAACAAAAGTATTTGGCTGTTAAATATATTCTCAAACATAGAGGCCATTACATTGAGAACAAATTTATAGTTGTTATGTTTCCTTGTTGTTTGGTCTCGCTGAACCCATAGCTAAAATCACCCCAAAAGCAGTGGCAGGGGAGTTCCCACAGGGGATTCCAAAGAAAGAAGCACTAACACTGGGTGATCAGTCCATAGCACTTACTAGGGGAACTCAGAGTGCTGCAGCAATCCTTGTGATGGATGGTGAGAGAAAAGGGGTGTTCTATCCAGGTATGTCTGCAGCGAGGGGGTCAGAGTATGGAGTTTATATGAGAGTGTATTTGGCTCAGGGCTGGGGACAGTTTTTTTGTTGCTTTAGGCAACAACCTAGATGCCTTTAATCAGGGTCTGGGAATGTTCAAGGTCCCAGTTTGGGTTCTGCCTGCTGGGAAAAACCTGCAGTTGACTGGGTTACACAGTGGTCAGTCAAGGCACTCTGTGATTTTCAGTCATGACATAGAAAGAAAGTAGAGGGAACCAGGGGCCCATACACTTGTGAATAAGAAAAAATTCCTTCTCTTTCTTCTTCCTTCTCTGGAGTTTCCTAAATGATTGATGGTACCCAGAATATTATAATCCTGCATCAAACAATTAATCAAACTGGTAGATGAGTTGCAGTCAGCTTCATATTTCACCTCTGAGGCCTCTTGGCTAACGTATACATTGGTAACTTCAGAGTGGAGAGGCTTGCAGACAGCATCTTACTCTCCAGTGAGAAGACAACTGAACCTCAGCCTCCCAAAGTGCTAGGACTACAGGTGTCAGCCACCATGCCCGGCCTTACATTACCTCTTGACTCCCTTAAAAGACCCAGCAGAGGACTGTCTGGAGTAGGTATTCAATGAATTTAAAAATAAATAACATCTTTGGTTTACTATTAGTTGCAAAGAAAGAGGAAGTATGGAAAGCTCAATAGGCTGCCTTAGGCAGCTTACCTGTAGGAAAATTTCTTCTAGGCTCCTCTTGGAGAGCAAGTAGAATCTAGAACATACCTGTACTTAGTCTGTTTCCCAAAGGTCAGTGCCTGACAGTTAAAGGTGAATGAAGGAACTGAAGTCTTCTGAAGATGTAGATTTTGGTTTTATTTCATGACTGTAGCATAAATTAGTATGAAATATATTTCTTTAAAAATAATCAACCCAGTTGATTTGATTGTCCAGGAAAGAAGAGCCCCAGCCTGGTCTGCACAACACGACCACTGCTGCTGGTGCAACGTGTAATCCTCACAGTGCCGGGAAAGGTGAGGCGGTCTCCTCGCACTAACACAGCTCCTGTGTCCCCAGTGCCTGCCTTTCTTCTCGTGCCTTGGCCAGGCTGGGCTTTCCCAGTTAACCCCAAAGGCAGAGAATCTAAAGGTCAGATTCTTTGTGGACATTTTGATCTTCAGTTTGTCAGACCAGCTCTAGAGCTAAGAGACAGTGCAATTTAGCCTAATGCTTCTTATAAAAGTGAGTCTGAGAAGCAGGACTGGCTCTGACCTTTAGAGCAAGGCTCAGACTCCTCTTAGCCCCTCCATGGCCCCGGGAATGCCCTGGCAGACTGAGGTAGAGGCAAAGAAGGGACTTGAATTTGCATGACTGGACTCAAGTCCCAGCTAAAATTTTTACTTGCTAGATTGTGGTGGGTCCCTCAACCTCTCTAGGCCTGTCCCTCATTTGTCAATCATGTACTGCCTTAGAGGAAGGGAGGTCCATCTGCGAGTGTGCCGAATGAGCTCATATGATCTCTGAACACTCCGGACTGCTGCATAAGAGTATGGAGGTTTGGGGTAGACGAGGAGGAAACAGAAAAGCAATGAGAGTAGTGTCAAATAAAGGAAGGGTGAAACGTTGAAAAGAAAAAGGCAGGGTGGAGAGATGGCGCCAACAGCAGCACAGGAGTCCCTGGCACCATTGCTGGGCTAGGGTCAGGGCTTAGATGACGGCATTGGTGGTTGGGTTCACGTGCCCTCTGAACCGTACAGAGAATAGAGTTGGTCACTAAACACAGCCTGGAGCCAGTCATCGGAAAGGGAAATCAATATTCTGACTGATTATCCTGACAACTACCATTTGCATGATTCTAACCTACAGGATCACTTTTAAAGCTTCTCAATCTTCATCTCCTCTCTGGACAGGAGACAGGCTGGTGAGCCCCGCCCTGGACCAGGTCATATCTTCCTTAAGCTACAGAAAACTTGAACCAGGTGGTGTGGTTGTACTCCTCACCAGGCCTCAGCAGCACAGAAGGGAAGTGGGGCTGTGAAGGGGAAAACAACACAGGTTACACCTTGCCAGCCCAAGCAGTGCCATTACCCCATTCGGGGCCTGCTTCTGTCTGTTTTTTTGAGACAGAGTCTCATTTTGTCGTTCTGGGTGGAGTGCAGTGGTGTCATCATAGCTCACTGCAACCTCAAACTCCTGGGCTCTCTCGATCCCCCTGTCTCAGCCTATCAAGTAACTGGGACTACAGGTATGTGTCACTATGCCCGGCTAATTTTTCTATTTCTTTTTTAGTAGACACGGGGTCTTGCTCTTGCTCAGGGTGGTCTCAACTCCTGAGCTCAAGCAATCCTCCCACCTCGGCCTCCCAGAGCGCTAGGATTTCTGGCATGAGCCACTACCATGCCTGGCCCCAGGGCATGTTTCTGGACTGGTCTCTGGGCCAGTGTTCCGTGGACCAGTGCCAGTGTGGGAACTGCTTCTTATTGCTTTGCAGTGAGAGAAAGAACTTGAGCCACAGTGGAAAACCTACTATATCACCAAACACACTCTGTCAAAATACAGTGTTCTTGATGAAGTAAGCAGCGTGTTGATTTATATTCTGGTGCAAGCTGTGAGCTTCTTACCATGAGCTGGCACTATCAGGAGCTTTCTTCTGGGTAATAGCTAGAAAAGAAAGTTATGAGGGAGAAAATAGGAAGAAAAGATATGGAGGAGCTGCTTAAAAGTGTGGTTGCAGAAAATGAGAAGGTATTGAGAAGGAGAAACATTAAAGGCTTCAAGGCACAAAATTTTAGCTTTACTCTTAACATATAAATGCCATACCAGTGACTTGACTATGGGTTTTCTGTGTTTATCATGAATTGGAGAAGAGAACAAACATGGACTTTTCAATCCTATGTGACTTTGAGTGTCATGTCCTCGGTCATACAGTGTGACCTTGACACAACACCAGTGTGACAAGTCAGCCTGTGGCTTTACCTGATTGACTGCGTCAGGCCAGTTCTGGGTCTCCAGGCAGAACCCTGAGTGCTTGGGATAGACGGCGCCACTCTTGCCCTTCAGTGTGCCATCCAGGAAGTTGCCCGTGTAAAACTGGACCCCAGGCTGGGTGGTGTATACTTCCAGCACTCGCCCACTGCCGGCATGATACACCCTGGGGGTAAAGACAAACCACATGTGAGTCCAGAGCAGAAAAGCAGGCAGGGAGGCAGCTTTGAGTTGGCAATGAGACCTCGCCTCGGAGCAGGGACAAGACGTAAGTAGGAGAAGAAGGTAGGAAGAGCATGATGGAAAATTCTCCCAGGCACACAGGTGAGGCCTGAGCAGGTGACTTTGGGGATCCTTAATAATAACTTCTCAACGCTGATCTTGGCTTCTTTGGAGAATGGCAAAACAGACTCACCCAAGGCAGCAGGGAAGGCGAGTGGGAGGGAGCAGTGAGGTTAGAGAGAAGCAGTTTAGGGCCCTGGAGGGGCCGACATGCTTTTTCATAAAGAGCGGGAGCTCTCTGCTTGACCTGGCAAAACAACCAGCCCTGTCTTATAAGAGTGAAGAGATGCTTTTCTGAATTTAACTATCTCCTTCTGTGGGGCTTTAGCGGGCTGTTTTTCAGTCCGGTCTCTCCCTAGAACAGTCCCGCTGTGGGTTTCTTTTTTTTTAGTAGAAACGGATCTTGCTCTTGCTCAGGCTGGTCTCGAAGCCCTGACCTCAAGAGATACTCCTGCCTTGGCCTCCCACAGTGCTAGGATTACAAGTGTGAGCCACTGCACCTGGCCCCACTGTGGGTTTCCATTAGAGTCACTGTGTCTTTAGAGAGGAGTTCCTACCCAGTTCTGTACTTGGTGTCGAAAGGATATAGATTTTTAAAAAGGCCTGGGTATTACTGTCTCATTGAGAGGCAAAACATGCACAAAATAGTTAAAACATCCCCACCACATGTAATCAACCAAGAGGTTCAGGGGAAGATGCTTGGGAAGAAGAGGAAGGCCAGGATGTGAGTGAGTGGGGAGAAGGCAGGAGGGCCTCCGCAGGTGGAGGCAGCAGGGAGAGGAATGTGGGGGACACGGAGGGGGAACACCGCTGGTGCTGGGGCTCCCTGGCAGAGGAGGGTTTTGGAGTTCTGTTTCAAGTTTCTCTATTAGGGGTTGAACCATTTTCTCTGCTTAACTTAAAATCCATTCATTCTACAACCATTAACTAATCATTTGCTAGTGCCAAGCATGGCATTAGGTGTTCAGGTAGAGGCAGGACTTTGTCTATCAAACAAGGCTGAAGGTGCTGAGTGCTGCAAGAGGAGTGTAGCCTCCAATTTGCCATGGGAGTGACAGGGCATAAATCACAAATTAATAAAAGTACAAAGGGCTCTGGGAAGCTCAGTGAAGCCAGAAGTGACTTCCTTCTTCCAAGAAGAATTAGGGTTTCTAACAGAAAATGGGCCTTAAAAACAGGCAGAGGCCACGTGTGGTGGTGGACCTGGAATCCCAGCTACTTGGGATCCTCGGCGTGAGGATGGAAGGATCACTTGGGCCCAGGAGTTCAAGACCAGTCTGGGCAAATAGCATGGGATGTGGTACTTGGTCCCCTGTAAACAGAGTAAATGCCACTGATCTGGCCAGAGGAAAAGCTCCTCAAATAGGAGTTGGTGTCTCTTCTCTACAGAGGCAGGAAGTGAAAAGTACCTGACCTTGCACAAAGATGCTTTTCTTTAGATCCCTTCAGACAGAAATTGTGGTCAAAGCCATTGAGGTGGAATGCCTGCAGGTGTTTTCCAAGCTCCACTGGCTTTCTCAGGTCGAACGCAGTGCCTTGCACTGGAGCAATTTCTCCTGGTGGGAAGAGGCAGAAAACAAAGGTGATAAAGACCCAAATCCAATCTTTATATACAGCAGTCCAAAAACACACTGGTTTGACCCTCTCAGCCTTCATTTTCATTTGTAAAAGAGATGGGAGTCCAGATCCTAAGAAGGAGAATGAATTATCAGACTTCCTTAATTAGAAGGTGCTATTGACTGCAAAATGCAGTAGTTATAACATTCAGAGTCATTTAAGTGTGAAAGTCACACCTAACTTCCACTAGGTGATGGCTGTCCTAATCACCCAGTCAAATCACCTTGTTGACATTTCTTGCTTCAGTGCTGAAATAGCCCCAGGCTGGTAGCCAAGGATTAGCACCCTGCATGGCTAACCAGACACTAAAGGAGTCCTGAGATTAGTGGTTCTTTTTATTGAGACAGGTCTCTTTGTTGCCAGGCTAGAGTGAGTGCCGTGGCATCAGCCTAGCTCACAGCAACCTCAAACTCCTGGGTCAAGCAATCTTTCTGCCTCAGCTCCCGAGTAGCTGGGACTACAGGCATGCGCCACCATGCCCAGCTCATTTATACATAATATATATATATATAGGTATATTATATATATAATTGTTGGCCAATTAATTTCTTTTTATAGCAGAGACGGGGTCTCGCTCTTCCTCAGGTTGGTTTTAAACTCCTGAGCTCAAAGGATCCGCCTGCCTCAGAGTCCCAGAGAGCTAGGATTACAGGTGTGAGCCACCGTGCCCGGCCGAGATTAGTGGTTCTTAAACAATTTGGGGCCACTATTCACTAAAGAGACACTGGCAACCACCCTACCCCATTATTTCCCTTAGTAGCCTGTAGACACTCAAACTACAGCAGGAGCTACTAGTAAGTACGCTGGACCGCATGAGTTAACTGGGACAGTCTGAGGCAAACTGGGATGGATGACCATGCCACTCTATGCCAACTTCAATATTTTTTCTTTTTTTTTTTTTGAGACAGAGTCTCGCTTTGTTGCCCAAGCTAGAATGCCGTGGCGTCAGCCTAGCTCACAGCAACCTCAAACTCCTGGGCTCAAGCGATCCTACTGCCTCAGCCTCCCGAAGTAGCTGGGACTACAGGCATGCGCCACCATGCCCGACTAATTTTTTCTATATGTATTAGTTGGCCAATTAATTTCTTTCTATTTATAGTAGAGACAGGGTCTTGCTCTTGCTCAAGCTGGTTTCGAACTCCTGACCTTGAGCAATCCTCCCGCCTTGGCCTCCCAGAGTGCTAGGATTACAGGTGTGAGCCACGGTGCCCGGCCCAATTCAATATTTTGAATGAAAGCTTTGAGTGTCTATGAGTGGTTCCTAGAAGAATTATAGTCTGGCAAACATGCTTCCTTTCTGTGTATAAGCCAGATTCCTCAAGTTTAAGTGCAGTCTATTCTGTCTTATCAAGATGGGCCATCCTGGGGCCTCTTCACAGTGATGTGGTAGGTGGTCAGTTCTGAGGGAGGACAGGGCAGTGTGGGGACCCTCAACTCTTGAAGAGCAAAACATGGAAGCAATCTGGACAGGACTCCTGGCTTGGTGGTCATTGAACCAATGCCCAGTCAAGAACATCCCTTCATGGTAAAACTCAAGGGTGTCAGGACCAGAAGGTTCTCAGAGCTCCTCTGGTCCAAACTGCTCATATGAACAGATGAGGAAACCGAGACATAACATAACACATAACTTGATATTATTATACAACAACCTATGATGTTGATATACTCAATTGTATAATTTTATCAATTTTTATCATTTTCGTATTTTAAAATCTCTGAAATCATGTCATGATTTAACGGGCAGAGGTTTTTCTTTCTTCATGGCATGTAAAATAATGGCGAACTTTATGACTGGTGGCATCTTAGAGTTAATAAAATATGTGAAAATAGCGTGCTATGTCCTCTGTTCTACTAAAACCACTAAAGAAGTAATCAGGGATTTAAGGGATTTAAGGGAAGAAAAGAGGAATTGAGATGACTTTGTGAGTCATTTTAACTGGAGATTCAAGGGAGAGAGTATTTCTCAATAGACAATCCTCTTGCGACGCCTGTCCGAAGGCCATAATGGGGTTTTATGTTCTGAAAATAGAGCCATTTTGCTTTACCACCTTTCATTCTCTTCCTAACTTTCAGTTCTGTTCTTCCCTAGATGCTAGGCCCAACCATTTCAAACAGGGGACACAAATATTCTGGATTTAGCTCAGTTAAGAAAGCCCAGACAATGTGAAGAAGACCGCAGAGCAAGGCCCCATCCCTTCCTCCCCTTGGAGTGTGTTCTCAGAATGTGCTGGTGCCAGGGCCATGGACTGGGGGCCATTCACTCAGCCACTTTTTGGCTCCAACAACATTTATTAAACATCAACTGTGTGCCAGGCACTCTGATAGCCAGGAAAACTGCATAGACGAGTAAGACATGGAACCTGCCTTTAAGCTGCTTGTAATCTAAAGGAGGAACCAGACATAAGCAGCTCATAAGCACAGAGTGTGACCAGCGCTCCAGTGGAGACACAGCTGTGAGAAAGAAGACAGGCAGTGGGACTGGACTGGCTTGGGGTGGCAGACTGGGGTGACTTCTTAGGGAAATTACAGTGGTTGAGCTGAGGCTCAAAGTGCAATCATATGAGATTGAATGGATGAGGAAGGTCGAAGGACATTCCATGTGAAGGAAATAGCTTGAGTGCAAGGTAACAGGGCATATTTGTGTGTGTGTGTGTGTGTGTGTGTGTGTGTGTGTAGGAAGAAGTACAGAATGCCTCAAATGAGGCAGGAAAGACATTAAATAAAGTTATATTATGAAGTCACTTCTCTGAGCCTGGGCTTTCCATCAGTACAGTGAAGTTGGATCATTGACTCCTCCCTCCGCCCACTGCTCTTCCTGCAGAATTCTTTATTTCAGAGGCAATCTTTTTAGAAGCTCAATATATAAAACATATGTTTATGTATATATATATATGCACATATACACAGTTGCCCTCCGTATCTGTGGGTTCCATATGCATGGATTCAACCAACCGCAGATTGAAAATATTTGGGAAAAAACAATAAAAAACCCAAATACAGCAATAAAATACAATTAAAAAAACAATATAGTATAACATCTATTTACATAGCATTTATGTTGTATTAGGTATTATAAGTAATCTAGAGATGATTTAAAGTATAGGGAGGCCGGGCGCGGTGGCTCACGCCTGTAATCCTAGCTCTCTGGGAGGCCGAGGCGGGCGGATTGCTCAAGGTCGGGAGTTCGAAACCAGCCTGAGCAAGAGCGAGACCCCGTCTCTACTATAAATAGAAAGAAACTAATTGGCCAACTAATATATATAGAAAAAATTAGCCGGGCATGGTGGCTCATGCCTGTAGTCCCAGCTACTTGGGAGGCTGAGACAGAAGGATCGCTTGAGCCCAGGAGTTTGAGGTTGCTGTGAGCTAGGCTGACCGCCACGGCACTCACTCTAGCCTAGGCAACAACAAAGCGAGACTCTGTCTCAAAAAAAAAAAAAAATAAAGTATAGGGAAGGATGAGCACAGGTTATATGTAAATACTATGCCATTTTACATCAGGGACTTGAGCAGCCTCAGAATTTAGTGTCTGTGGAGGTCCTGGAGCCAATCCCCGTGGATACTGAGGGATGATTGTATATATAAAATACATATATATAAAAGCCAGAGTTATTCTAGCTGAAGCCAGTATAGGCTCTGAGCAGCTCAGGTGGAAAACCCCAGGATAGGATGATGGCAGAGGTTCACTTTGCTCCCTAAATTTATAGCCCACTCAGGAGTGAGTAACAGCCAGGTCTCAGAATTTTGCATCAAGTACAAAGAATCCCAAGTTCTTCTGTATCGGGCCAAATCCTCTGTATCAGCCCATTTTTTCTTGAGGAGGAAAGAGGCTCAGTTTCACAGCCTTAGAAGAAAGGATGATACAGTGTAGTCTTTTTTTTATTTTTTGAGACAGTCTCACCCTGTCATCCCAGCTAGATAGAGTGCTGTGGTGTCAGCCTAGCTCACTGAAACCTCATACTCCTGGGCTCAAGCGATCCTACTGCCTTAGCGTCCTGAGTAGCTGGGACTACAGGTGTGGGCCACCACGCCTGGCTAATTTTTCCAGGTTTTGTAGAGACAGGGATCTCACTATGTTGCTCAGGCTGGTCTCGAATTCCTGGGCTCAAATGATCCTTCTGCTTCGGTCTCCCAAAGTGCTAGAATTACAGGGGTGAGCCACTGCACCCAGCCACAGGTTAGTCTTTTTTAAAAAGTTTCTTTATTGACCCAGAGCTGTCTTATATATTTTAAAGGTAAGTACAAATGTTAGGTGGTTAACATACTCTTTTAGGGTGATAATTATTTTTTCCTTTCATGTGGTCAGATGGAGAAATTTTAGGAATTGGTTTCTACTATTTTTAGGAGTGAGATATATAGCATGCAAAGTAGGCCTGAAATCTTAGGAGGCTAAGAAAAATCAGGAAGTTGTACCTTACCATTAAAAGAATTAAGTAAGTAAAGGAGAAACAACTGTTAGTCATTTAAAGTTTTTGGTTCTGCTTTTGTGGGTTCCTAAATGCTGAAAGGAAACACAAATCTATCTGGGCAAAAGAGGACATCCTTAAACTCAGCTGCTGTTGAGAAATGGAGTCCTACTGGCACGTGAGGACTGGGGTGCTGAGTTCACACAGAGCTTCAGGGGTGCCTGGGTACAAGGCACTGAGAGAGACACACAGGCCCAAGAAACACCATCTTGGTGGCTGGGTGTCCACTGGTTTTTGAAAACATTCTTGAAAAGCATCTATTTCCTTTGCCCTGGTTCTTCTTTAAAAAAAAAAAAAAAACAGGTGGGGCGTGGTGGCTCACACCTGTAATCCTAGCACTCTGGGAGGCCGAGGCGGGTGGATCGCTTGAGGTCAGGAGTTTGAGACCAGCCTGACCAAGAGCGAGACCCCGTCTCTACTAAAAATAGAAAGAAATTAATTGACCAAGTAACACATACAAAAAAATTAGCCAG